TATGGGAAACTAATTATTTCGGTTATATTTGATTGTTCGGAAATAATGCTATTATTTTCACTGTACTTGTGTTTCCACTTACCACTACTGCCTCAAATTTTTTTGTATCTTGATTCCATTCCCATATTTCTGGCAAATAGATTTTGTCCAAATGGAAATAGCTATGATATTGTGCGAAATGCAGGCTGATCTTGGAGCAAATGCTATGCTGGCAGTGTCAATTGCAGCTTGCAAAGCTGGTGCTGCTGAAAAAGAGGTGCTGCTTTTCTGCTAAAATCATCATAATTTGATAAATGTGTCATGCCACAGCACAGAATTCTTATTGTCGGATCATTGGATGCTTGTTGCTGTGCAGGTTCCACTCTACAAGCATATAGCAGATCTTGTTGGCAAAAGCGCTACAACTCTTCCTGTCCCTGCAATTACAGTCATTAATGGTGGAAAGCATGCTGGAAATGGTCTTCCCATTCAAGTATTCCTCCAAACCTTTAGAATCTGAGAAGTTGAAGGCATTATTCCCTTATTTTGTCCACTTGAGTTATCTTTTGCCTAAACAGAAACATATTAATATAGTTAGTTGTTCATGTATATCAGCCATATCAACATGTTTAACTGTAGCTCTGGAGTAACTATAAACCTTTCTTCTTTGTAGGAAATTATGATCCTTCCTGTTGGTGCTAAGAACTTTGAAGAAGCAATGCAGATGGGTTCAGAGACTTATCACCATCTCAAGGTAGCCTTCACTTATAACAATCTGTGCTGCAGATATAACATAAGTGTTGTTTTCCACTGATACTTGGTTCAAGATGTTCATCAAACATCATAAGATTGTGTTCAATAAAAAACTAATATTGCACTCAGCCTTTCTGGTTCCTTCTCTCTTTTTTCCTGTTCTGAATTTAGCTACTATTAATTCATTTGGGCCGGTTGTCGTTGAGGTAAAGTACTGACATTATGGACCTCTTAGCTCTTACAAGTTTTGCCTTCAGACTGCCAGAAAGGTATGCTCACTTTTGTAGATATTTACTTACTAATAATTACTTTTACAGGATATTATCTTGGAGAAATGTGGCTCAGACAGCTGCAACATTGGAGATCATGGTGGATTTGCTCCAAATATTTCCAGGCAAGTGAGAAACTCATTTTCTATTTTCTGATATCACATATTTCTTGTTTTCCCAATTGGGGACTTACATATGGATTTCAATATGCCAATATCTATGTTGCTTTATTGATGTTCAGCATATCTGAAGGCCTGGATCTTGTTATTGCGGCAATAGAGAGGGCTGGATATAATGGAAGAATAAAATTGGCAATTGATGTTGCTGCTACTGATTTTTGTGTAGGTAAGTAGAAAAGCAGTGCATTGCCTATGTAAATGTTCAAAAATTAGCTCTGTGAATAAAAATATAAAACAGACTATGAAATTTGGTGATAGGATGTAATCATTCTGCTGCTCTGGTTGTGTCTGCTTACTGGAAGAGTTTCATGCAGTGTTTTCACTTTTAGGCCCCTATCCATATTATTTATGCCTCATTTCTTCCGTGATGTCATCTGTTTGTTTAATATTGTTGCTACTAAACACCAGAACCAGCCCCATTGAAAGCATGCTTTCAGAACCACCTAGCAGGAATCTTGTAACGATGTTGCTACATACTCTACTTGCATTCGGATGACCAGATACTGTACAATCTTGAACCTTAGAAATATTGAGCTTGAATGTTAGTTGATTCTATAGTCCATGCATTGGGTTCTTTTGTATTTGCTATGTCAATGAGTTAGTTTATGGCTATGTTCACCCAACTCATTGCAGGAAAGAAATATGATCTGGAGTTCAAGTCAACAAAGAAATCAGGGCAGAACTTCAAAACTGCTGATGATATGATTGAGATCTATAGCCAGCTTTGTTCAGGTATCCCTGAATTGTGGGTTGACATCATCTTTCTTTTTCTTCTACATATTTTAGTTTCATGAAGCATATAAACACAAGTTCACTGTTTTCTTGCCTCCACTTTCTGCACTAGAGTACCCACTTGTCTCCATTGAGCAGCCCTTTGATAAAGATGACTGGGAGCACTCAAAAAAATTGACCACTCTAGAGCTGTGCCAGGTGTTTTTTTCTTCTAACTTTCAGTTATTATTAGTTCGTGAGTAGCTCATGGTATGAAATGTGTACAGGTTGCAGGGGATGACTTGTTGATGTCTGACCCCGAACGCATTAAGCGGGCAGTTAGTGAGTACACTTGCAATGCTCTTGTTCTCAAGGCAAGCATCAAGTCATCCATATAAATTCTTTCTTATTGGGGCTAGTTTGTGTTATATATCCATGTTATTGGAATAGTTCGAGAGTGACAAGTAACAGTACCGCATGACATGTAACTCTGGAACTAGGCATGCTTTATTTGACAATATTTGGATGCTCATACTTATTGTTTATTAAAACGCTACTCTTCCTTCTCAATGTTCATTATAAATGAAGCTTTGTGTAGTCTGAGTTGAGTTGTAAGTTTATTTATATAGAACAGTGTTGTATTCAATCTGAAACAGTAATACATTTGTCATCCATATATTATTTGAATTTGCTGAAAGCTGAGAAACTTGCAATTAAACTAGTAGGCTGTAGCCTCTAGGCACATTGTGATCACAACCTCTTGCTTGCACGTGTATTTTCATCACAATCTTTGTTCCCTTAGAGTTCATATGTGATTCTGTTGATGCCCTATTTCGAACATGATTATTTCATAGGTTTTGGCAGGAAACATACCGCTGCCTGCAAAGTTTCTATATTCGTTAGGGGCCCTTAGTATACCTGTTGTGTTTCTTGTCATGTTTAGTTTGTCAATAACATTTTTATATATGCAGGCAAATCAAGTGGGCACTGTCACTGAGGCCATAGAGGTTTTGAAGCAGGCAAAGGATGCTCATTGGGGTGTGATGGTGTCACATAGGTCTGGAGATACTGAGGATTCTTTCATTGCTGACCTGGCTGTTGGTGCTGCAGCCGGACAGATCAAAGCCGGTGCTCCCTGCCGTGGAGAGTGTCTAACTAAATACAATCAGGTTTTTCTTTCTGATGAATCCTTTATATTTCTATGCAAGTACACAGCATACACACCACCATGAATACAGCTGACTTGTGGTAACCTTGCAACGTTGATTTTGCAGCTACTTAGAATAGAGGAAGAACTTGGAAGTGAAGGTGTCTATGCAGGGGAGAATTGGAGAACTGTAAGCACGAGCTGATCTGTGGTATAATGATCTGTGGTATAATTTGAGTTGCGGGGAGAACTGGAAATCTTGACCCGCCTTCGTATGTAGCCACTTAACTTTTCTTTGTTGTCTTGTCCAATTGCGTGTGCTCATCCTCATCGAGGATATGGAAATAGGGTGGTGAAATGCACCATTTTGTACTAGATGATGGCATTGTTGTCGAACATATATATAGTGGATGCAGTGGTGGGGTTTACATTTTTTGTGTTGTTCAACTTGGATTTTTTTTGTTTAATTTGTGTATAGCATGGGTTATAAACATGAGTCAGAACCTGAGAAGATGGTTTAAGAAATAGAAGTGAGTTACATTCTAGTATAATTGGTCCTTTTTCGTATCTCATAGTCATATAGTTGATGCTCTTCCAGATTATGAACTATTCGGTAGTGCTCACGTCTCTGGCTTCGACTACAGGCGTAACCTAATTCATTTGCATGAGTGCATACTTTTGTTTTTTCAATCAACTTTGCCTAGATGAGATGAGTGCCTAGTATCGAGCTTGTACAACAACAACAACAACAACAACAACTGTGGACAATACCGTACGTTTATGGTTTAAGGCAGTCACAGTTGATTTTTAAAAATCTTAGTCCGCATAAGGGTTTTTAAATCCTTTTGAATTTAAAGGTGGAAATATCTGGTGCACAAGATAACAGGAGTATATGGATGAACATATACACAAAATTAATCTAGCCCTTTCTATTTATTCTGACTTCCTAGTGGCACATGCGAATATTATAGGCAGTGTCAGCAACTTTAAAGCCGTGAATTGTACCAAGTATAATAAGATGATGTAAGTAGGTCCGTATAAGGTGCCACATGATTTATGTTAAGGTGGAGGAGAGACTAGGAGAGGAGAGGAGAAATAAGTGAAACTAGCTATAAACTTACAGCCGGCTTATACTCGTGCTTCAAGAATCTTTGTGACAGTATGATAGGCCAGATATTAATAGTGTAGTTATATCAGTAGTCAACTATTATATGAGTGGGCTATTAGAAGGTTGTAAATGATATGGCAACAATATACAACTAGCAGTTATCTGTGTTATTATTAGCCATGTTCTGATTGCTCTTCAAATCTCACGAGCATTTCAATTTCCAACGCTTCCATTTGCATCGAACATGCTTAAAGCATGAGGCACTCATGTCAGTGTGCTCAGCGTAATCCAGCAACAGGGATGTCTTGCAGTCGGCAGTTCTCTGCGCACAAGACCATACAAGAACAAACTCGACTAGTTGCAAGTGTAACTGTTAAACCCTGCTTGGGACTGGGAGAGCTTCTTCCCTTTCCCTTTCCCTTTCTGGGAGGCAGAAACCTCCCAAAACAGGGTAGCTTTTCGACCTATATGGCTATATATAGAGAAGAAAGTTCACTCAACCAAAAAGAACCTTTTAGGACCATATGCCAAACCAGACTGCATAGTACCCAAGACAACAAAACAACATAGACAATAAATATATCGATCAATAAGGGCAAGATACCCGATTTCATTACTTGGTGCACAACAATTTCAGTGAAGATTTCAATACTTGATGCACAACAATTTCATTGAAAATGACAGCAATTCCATGGTTCACCAATGTGATCCAACTAGCACAGCAGAGGATACCAAAATAGAGAAGTCCGGGATCCTCAGGGCGTAGATGGAATAACATACAGCATGCGGTTTTAAGTAAAAACATGAGGCTCTCCAACTCTCGCCTTCAAACCCCCGCTGTTGAAATGGCGCAATCAGGAGGAATCAGAGGCTGGTTGTTCTGGCTGTGCTTCAGCAGCGCGCTTGACTGACGCGCACTTGAGCAAGTGGTTGTAGCTTCCCTTCTCCTTGAAAAGTTGAGAGAAATGGTGTTTACAGTAGAGGATGCCCTCCAAGGCTGCATAGTTGGAAGGTGTAATCGCACAGCCCCCGTGGGAGCATTTGAAGCATGACTTATGGTAGGACTTTTCTTCAACTGTTACCTGCAATGTTTTTAACAGCCATGCATTAGAACCACTGTCCACATGTTTTGCTGGCTCAAGGAAAGCGATCAGAAATAAGAGTTTTGATGACTCAAGGCAATCAAGAAAGGATAATTAGACAAATTAAGATGAACAAAGATAAAATTTTATTGTTAAATGGAGCAAAATTTAGGTTGACAGCACGACCTGGTTAACATGACTAGAAGGGGACAAATATTTGTTCAGTTGTGAAAGCCATTGAAACCCATGGGGATTGATCCTGACATGTTCCATAGTAAATATTGACCTTGATGAACTACTGAATTAGATGCCAGATTTTCACAAGCTACATCCCAAAATTTTGAAAGGAAATAATGAAAAGGAAAAAGGCATAATGTGACCAAAATTACCTTCTCAAGAGGATATGCAGTTTTACCGCAAGTCGCACACTTGTCTTGTGTTCCTGAAAACATCCTTGCAGCTTTGCTTGGTGATCTGGTCTGGATAGCAGATTTTGGACAAAACTTATCACTTCTCCAATTCAGGAATACAATGAGACAAAAACTAACGCATGCAGACTGGCACTCACCAGCTCAGGGCCCAACTTTTCCGGAGTAATCTTTGCGGCTGAAAGAAGAAAACCACGAGCACATCACTGCATCAGATCACAGAAACACAAAAGCTTGTATTTTCATGTCGATGATTCGGTACTGAATGAAAACGTACGTGATTGTGATTGGAAGCTCTTGTTGTAACTCCCGGTCTCCTTGAACAGCTGCTCGAAATGGGCCTTGCAGTACGGCACACCTTCGAACGAGGAATAGTTGCTCAGCTATCAAAGGCGAAAAGGATGAATACGGAGATTGTCAGACCTTGCACAACTGCTTATCTTTGCCTAGACATACATCGAAAGGTCGTCCTAAACAGAAGATCAAATAAGAGTTTTCATTTGCATCGATTTTCTGCCCAATCCTCTCTGTTTAGCGAATGGGAAATGGACAAAACCATGATCTCTCCTGGGCATATATAATTTTCCTGATAATAGGAAACTCGCACCAGATCCGTTCGCCGCAGTAATTCGCAGATCTACCGATGCTACATTGCATTACCCTACAGATCCATCCACCTACCCATTAGAAGAGAACATGCGCAAGGGAACGTACGGAGAGGGTAGACTTGCAGTGCTGGCACTTGAAGCAGGAGCGGTGGAAGACGACGCCGTCGGTGGAGAGCTGGTCCATCGGGTACACCGTCTTGGTGCACACCTTGCACTTCTGCTGCGTCCCGCTAAACATCATCTCCCGATCACCGGCCAACCTCCCCTCTCTCTGTCCCTCTCTCACGGGTCGTGGCCGGCGAGATCTGACTGAGAGCCCGATCCGGCCTTGGCCTGCGCGCGCGTGGCGTGGGATGAAGAATGAACACCTCGCCCGGCGTCCCGATTGCCGCGCTTATATACGCAGGAGCACGAGACGCGATTAAGCGATGGAATTATGACGGGTTCGTCTCCCTCCCCCAGCTCGCCCGCGCCTCACTTTTGCCGCGGCGGAAAGGAAAAGGCAGCAACAAACAAGCGACGACGGGGGATGTGGGAATCGGATGATGGAGGCACAGCACAGAACAGTGCCGTGCTGCTGCTCATTAAACTAGTGAGCAATTATTACTACCACCATTAGTGCGCATTCGAGGAGGAAGCTCCGCGCACATCGGGTCACTGGTGGCGGGGCCGTCAGATGGTGGGACCTACGTGTCGGCGAGTAAGGAGTTCCGCAGCTGCGGTGGGGGACCGGGAAGAAGTACGGGAGAAGCAAGCAGCCAAGCACTGGTCGCATGGGTGGAGGGGCGAGCGGGACCCAGGCGTCAGGATCTGTGGCGTGGCGCCGTGGCAGGGAGACGGAGATATTATTGCGCGGGGCCCGGGCAGGCGTGGTGTGGCCCACGTCGGCCAGCCTTTTTCCGGCTGCCTCGTGGGACTATCCTCAGCCTGTTCGGAATCGTGGGTTTGTTTGTTGCTGGATCACGAGGGAGTATCGCTGGCTGATTTACGTGACAAAAAAAATATTATTTCTAACTTAAAAATATTGTTTATGTAAATAGTATCCGTAAGGGGCTGGTCAGCCCCAGCCAGCCAGCCTCTTGTTTCTGCGTGATTGGCAGTTGGCTCGGCACTGGCTTAGCTACACCTACAGCTACAGCGCATTGCCTGGCAGGCATTGAAGTCTCTCGCGACTCGCTCTGCCTCTCTCTCCCTCAGCTTTTTTCTCTCCAATTTTTATTGAGACCGAAAGGACGAGGCGTACGTACTCGTATGCATTTTTGATACGCGCACTACCGTCAGGGAGGGTGGTTGACAGTGGGGCCGATGGAGGAGCGTGTCGTGCTCGTTGTTGGGCCGGGTCCGTCACGGTCACGGTGGCGGCGGCACGCGCCAGGGGCGTAGGCGCGGAGCAAGGGCTTCTCCAGTTGCGAAAACAAACCGATGCAACGTCCTACGTGTCACCAGGATGAGTCGGTTGATTGACTGGAACACATCGACCCATGAAGGAGAGAGAAGAGTCAATGCAAACTTTTACATCGCTTCTTTAGCGGCCATCAGCGATAAAAAATGATCGGTCCTGTTTATTTCGCTCAAATTTATCTTATGCAATTTATTGTCAAAGAAAAATATTGTTTGCTCACTGAAAGTACTGTATTAAAGCAGTGCTGATCAACGAAGCTGATTTCTTCATCCAGTGAAGGGCCAAGGAGAGGTTGTCTCCTCTCTACTGCTCTCCCGTGGAGGGGTCCCTATGTCTCTCCTGGCGTCGACTCACCGCTACAGGACAAAGATGGCACACTCTCTCATTTGAATAAGGGGTTATTTGGCAGGGCTACTCCAAGGAGCCACATGCTCTGTTCGCTTCTCTTATAAACTTATAATCCGTCTTTTTCAAAACAGTATTTTCCTGTCACAACAAATCAACCGAAACAGTGTTTCAACTTGTTTTTTCAACCGAAGCGAACGGGGCCACAATTTATGCCTCCTTCAAAACGACTCCGACTCCTCGGATTTTCTAAAAAACGGATCCCCCTACAAGTCGTTTGGTAGGTCTCCTCCTAAAGAGTCGGAGAGCCATGGAGGAGCCGGACAAACAGGCCCTCGTGACTCACACTGCAGATGCTCCGTAGCAGTGGACTGTGGATAGGTCGGCTGTCGACAGAATATCGTCGACAGTTCTCCGAGAGGTATCCCACGAAGGTAGATTGATCGGAAGAGGAGCTCGTGATCAAGAACAAGAAGGCAATAGAGACACGAGTTATACAGGTTTAGGCTGTCAGTATGACGTAATACCTTACTCCTGTGGTCTGTTGGTTTGTATTAGCTATCGTATGATATGCCATGATTTTGGAGGGGGTCCCTGTCCGCCTTATATAGTCCGAGGGGCAAGGTTACAAGTCGGTTAGATCTAAGAGATAATCGAAAAGTAATAACAGATTACAAGAATCATGGGATCGTACGTATCCTAACAGATCTCGTAGTATCTTTAGGATATCTTCCTTATGTCTTGCGGGAGGCGCCGAAAGCGTAGTCGTGCCTCGCAGGGCTTTCTTCTCTTGTGGGTTGAGCACCTCACAGGCACAGACCCATGTGGTCTCTGCCAGGTATCCGGGTCGTACTTCCCACAACTAGTCCCCCCGAGCGCCTTGTACCCGTTGTAACGCCGTCTTGAGCTCGTCCCGAGCGAGTGCGAACCAAAGCCGAAAGCAGTCCAACTCATGATCCGACCACCGTAATGAGTCACCGAAAGCCAGTGGCGATTCTTTGAGCAACAGTACATCATCGCCGAAAGGCCGGACCATCGCCGAAAGCAAAGATGTCCCAAGCACGGCTTGCCATAAGGGTGTAAGGAGCTCAAGTCCAGAATTGAAAATTTCTTCGTAGTGGACCAAGTGTGCTCACTTAGAGTTCGACCACGAGAAAATGAGATAATCTTCTTCGGCTTCAAGAGGCATGGAGTCCTCTAGAAAAAACAAACATATTCACCGCTAGGTGAAGTATGCCCACTTAGTCCCCGAGCCTGACAGTAGATGACATAGTCATGTGGTGCTAGGGTCAGAAAGTAGAAAACCAGCCGAGCAGGCAGCCAGTCCCCGGGCGTAGCCTCGAGATGAGAAAAGCGCACATTCACCGCAAGGTGAAGTGTGCCCACTTAGTCCCCGAGCCCGATAGTAGATGACGTAGTCATGTGGTGTCAGGGTCAGAAACAGAGAAATAATGAAAACCAGCCGAGCAGACAGCCAGTCCCCGAGCTCCAAGCGAAGATATCAAAGAAATCAAGCCGTGGAGAAAAAGTCGGAGTAACGGCTATACAGTAACAGTTACTGAGCCTCGATAAATGGCGGAGAAATCGATGATTATTCGGCGAGTAACAACAAACGGCAGCGATAAATGAGCGACGTGGGCTACGGGCGCGTGAAAGCCCAGGTTGCGGCCCATATACCGCGTCCGAGAATTCGGAGCGGCGCAGATCGCGGGAACGGTTTCCCAAAAACCCTCGGCCGTGACACAGTTGACGAGTGCTTTATAACTACGCCGCCGCACCCCACGCCCCCACCTTTGCCATTCTGTCGTATCATCTTCCTTCTCAGCTCTTGCGCTTCCCAATCCGCATCGACGCACGCATCCGCCTCCATTCTCAAACCAGATCTGAGAGAATGGCGCCGAGGAAGGGAGCTGCGAAGCCGAGGAAAGAGGCTGCCGGAGCCAGCCGCGACGAGGAGTGGGTGCCGTCGAAGAGGGGGGAGGCGGAGCTCAATAGAATGGTGGCAGCAGGCGTTCTTCCAGACCGCGTCACCGTGGATGGCGGCTAGCCCACGGTGAGCCCTTCCCGACACCTCACACTGATGAAGTTGTAGTATTCGAGGATTATTTTTGGCGAGGATTGGGGTTTCCTGTTCACCCCTTCCTGAGGGACTTGCTGGAGTTCTAGGCGATTAGCCTATGCAATCTACATCCAAACACCATACTGCACGTCTTAGCCTTTATCCATTTCTGTGAGGCGTTTCTGGGGATTCTTCCACATTTCAATATCTTCAGACACCTTTTCTGTTTGAAGAAGAAAGGCGGTAGTGGTTCCAAAGTGGTCGGTGGCGTGTACTTGCAGCTCAGGGATGGGATGACCAGCGAGTACATCAATGTACCGCTAAACACTTCTCTAAAAGGTTGGAACGCCAGGTGGTTCTACATTAAGCAAAGTCACCCGGTGATACGGTGCGACGTCCACCACATCCCGGAGAGCCAGAGTAGCTAGTCGGAGAGACCAAACAGCGCTGACATGGAGCAAGTGAAGGAACTCCTCGATTTGATTAAAGGCATGGAGATTAGAGAAGAACTGGTGGCGGCAAGCTTCATAGTGCGCCGCGTCCAGCCCTACAAAGAGAGGGCCCACCCGGGCTTTGACTACATAGGTGATGACGATGGCACTCGGGAGATGATAGAACGGCTGATGAAGAAAGAAGTAATAGCTCAGGCCACAGAGCTATTTTCTTCCAACGCCTCATTCAGCTGGTCAAAGCAAATGAAGGCCTTCAACTGTACAATCCTGCGTCCTCAGGTAACCATCTCAATGTACTTTGCTCATATTGCCTGATGGTTGCCGAACAGGAAACTGACTCACTCATTCGGAGATCCACTTGCAAGATAGGGCGGTGTACTTTTCGAGCGTGCCAAGAGCCGACTAGCCACCAGCGGTCGATGCCCGACCACCACCTCAACCTAAAGAAAGTTCCGTCAGCGTTTCCTCGGAGTCGGGAGGTGTTGACATTGATCAGGTGGAGAGTCCTCCCTCGGCATCGAGAAAGTCTGGGGGAAGAGGCCAGCGGCAGACGAGCCAGCCCAAAAGAAGAGAAAGACGACGACTGCCACTCCCCGCAAACCAGGCAACATCTCACTTGGTGGTGACCAGACCACTCGAACGTGAAGAACCACGGTGATTGAGTGGTCGGACGATGATGAAGTTCCAGTGTTCCCTCCACCGAGCACGAGGGAGCCTTCACGCAGCACGCGCGCGCGTGATCAATCAAGGGTGGGCGAGGACATCCCCGAACCAGAGACGAGGGAAATCCCTGAGCAGCAGGTGAGGAAAACTCCTGCACAAAAGTCGACGGGAGTCCCAACGGAGCGAGCGACGGAAGTCCCCGAGCAACAAATGGAGGCGAACCCGGAGCAGCAGGTGGAGACGACCCCAGCGGCGAGAGCAGAAAAGACGTCGACCGAGGAACCGAGACCTCCCCCACAGAGCTTAGGAGTCGACTCCAC